CCTGCACACATGTGGTTTCAATATAAATACAAGCTGCCAGGAAGCTTTCTTCTTGCTCCGGGAGAAGGTGTAAACCCTTGCAGGATAAACATACCTCCATCAGTAAGGGAGAATGACTTCACTTCTGGCTCACAATCATTGCGTATGTGAGCTTTAATCATCCTGCTCTTTGTACTAAGTGAAGCCCTTATGATCAATCAGAACTTTGAAGCTTTGTTATAAAAATGTAAATGAAATGCATTTCTAAATGAAGCCTTTCTTCTGCCTTGTGCTTCTCCATTCTTCCAGGCACTCCCAGGAATGCACCAGTTCCTGATAACAGCACCGCTCCCTCCCTGCTTTTGCTCCATAGCAAAAAGAGAAGAGGAGCAGAGCTGCCTCTGGATGTTTCTAGATATTCTGATCCAGTTGGGAGACAAAATGTTCTCCTGATTGTATCTCTAAAAATAAAGATGAGGCTTGGAGGGAAAACACAGCACTGCTGGTTGCTTGCTAAACGTTAAGCCTGAGTCCCCATGGAAGCAAGGTGTAGGCAACCTGCTAGCTGTCTGCATGTCTGCTTTGCTCCCATAATAACTTCTGGTCCCATTGGCCCTGTTCCCCTGATTCATAACGAGAGTGATGTCTCAGTGGAAGGAAATTCCCACCAGTTGCAGAAAATCTGCCTGCCCAAGTGTGCTGGTTGTGTTGTAGTATTGGAGACATGGCAAAATAGATGGGTATTTCCAATTAGTTCTTCATCAGCCTGGCCCTGGGGATGTCCGGCTGTTATCCATCTGGCCACATCCTCAAAGGAGGGGTTGGCCGAGATCTGGTTACAGAAGGAAACAAAGCTTGGTGGAAGGCAGGGGAAAAAAACGTTTAATTTTAAGATATTTCATTGAATTTCATTGCTCTCGCTGCCAATCTTAGGAACTTCTGGCCAAGTCTGACAGATCTGGGAAGAAAAAGAGGTTTATCGTGCCCCAAGCAATTGTTCTGACCACGTGGGTGGATTTGTTGTTTCCAGGAAAAAAAAAAAAAAAAAAAAAAACACCACTGCAAAGCCCTGAGCTTGGGCACAGACACACTGCTGTGCATCTCTGTGTGTGAGGGTGGCTCCATAGGACCCAGAGAGGCTGTAGGAAGGTCAGAGCTGGGGGCAGGGGCAGCACCTGGAGTGTGCTGGTTTTTGTATGGAGAGAGAGACATGAGCCTATCGGTAGGTGGGTGGAGATGCCTTTTCTCTCTGGTCTCACCTGAGTTCTATTTTATTTTGTTTTAGAGCTGTGGGTCCATGTGCACACAGCACCAACTCCAGATGTGCTGTCCCCTTTTGCAACCCTTCTGATGGCCTGCTCTTGAGCCAAGCCAAAGAGCCTGGAGTACCTGCACTCACTCTGGGAAGCCATAGGACAAGGGGAAGAGCAATATATATTTTTTTTCCTTTAGATTTTCCCTTGCAACAGCACGTTTTCAAGGAGCTGTAGTGATTCTGAGCAGGGTTTGGCCTTATTGTGCCCTGAGCTGTCTCACCTGCACTCCAGACAGTTAGGGAGACTCATTGCACACCTCCACGTGTGCTGACAGGGCAAACCTCCATCCCTCTGCCTGTAATTGGCATCGACACGGCACTGCCATAGCCCTGGGATGCTCCACAGCCAGGCTGTGGACTTTCAAAGTAGCCAGTTTGCTTAGTAAACAGTTCCTTGAGTATAAGGAAGGATAATGCCTTTTGTAGAGATGCTTATTGATGTTTGCATTCCTAATCCAGCAGTGTCATTTATTCCGGCTATGTGAGCAGAGAAGTGCTCCCCCAGGCTGAGGCTGTCCCATTTTGTTACCTACGTCAGACACGATGCCTTGGAGTGGGCTTTGATTTTAGTTTGGATTGCGTGTAGATCCGCTGAATCCAAACATTAACAGATAATAAGGCTGGGGAGAGTTTGTAGGTGCCGGTTGGTAGACTCTACAGATTGATAGCACAGCATCCTTTCTCTGAGAGTATTTTAGTGAGCATTAGATTTATGCTATTTACTGCTTTTCAGATAAAACAGTCACCATGCTCGAAACCGCTGATGTACTTAGAATGGGGAATGGACTGGTTTAGTGGTTGCTGAATCTGATTGCTCAGAGGCCACTTTATTTCTCGATTGGAGAGATTGTGTTCTAAATAACGCAGCTATGGCTTTATGAATTGAGCAGGGCATGAATTAAGCAGGTTGGAGGCTGCCCATGTTGACTGGCGGCTTCGCATCTTTCAGGACGAGGTCAACTCAAGTTCATTGCGTTGGAAGGAGTTCATGATTCCTTTGTTATGGAGGTTCAATAGGGATTGATTTTAAAATAAAGTTTTTTGGACTAATTTAATAAATTCACTTTATTGTTCAGGCATTTATGTTTTTTTTTTTTTTTCTTTTTCATGAGATCAGTGTAAAGCATTTCCTCCTGCTATCCCAATCACTCTGAATATTATTTAGACCTCATGGCTCTTCTTTCCTTCTCGTCCAAAACTCAATCATGAGATGGACAAAACCTGAACACATTATTAAACAGAATTTGCACAGGGGAACCTGTGGGGTCATAGTTCCAGAGATGAGCTTTTGCTTATGCTCTTTGAGGGTAGTGATGCACTGGAACAGGTTGCCCAAGGAGGTTGTGGATGCCCCATCCCTGGAGGCATTCAAGGCCAGGCTGGATGTGGCTCTGGGCAGCCTGGTCAGGTGGTTGGTGACCCTGCACATAGAAACTAGATAATCATTGTGGTCCTTTTCAACTCAGGCCATTCTCTGATTCTTTAATGTCCCATGCTCTGGCAAACTGCAGGGAGACCTGATGGACGGGGCCATCCCTTGTGGTTGTATTGCAGGAGGAGCATTTATTGAGCAGCACAGCCATCATCTGAGTTTTTGCATTGCTGCTTTGCATCTGACATCCCACTTGGGGCTCCAGTTTGCAGCTCTTTTGGGGCTGTAGGTGCAGAGCTGCTTTCACAGCTGCTCAGCTCCGTCTTCTGCCATCGCACAGCTGCGTGGATGAGGCAAGATAACTTTGTGTTGCTTCTGATTTTCTGTCTTGTCTGCCTTCCTCCAGCCTGCAGTGCTCAGGCAGGCCATGGAAAAGTGCAGCAGATCTGTCAGGGAGATAAGTGTGTTTTAAAGAGCAATGATATCTGTCAATGAGACAGCAGCTGCGCAGAAATTTGTTTCCATCTCTGCCTCCTGATCTGCCCCAGAAATGTCGACACAGCACTTTTCTCTCCGTGGTTATTTCTTGAGGTGCTTTTTTTTTTTCCTCAATGTATTTAGGGGGAAAGGACAAAAAGCTGCAGAAAGCTCTGCTGTCACCCCTCCCTGGGCTTTTGTCCTCAATGTGTGGCAGCAGACGAGTGGAAGTTTACTGAGGTTGTGCCTCAGGAGGTCTTACCTTGCTGGAAATAGCACGGAGGGGAACAGCTACCAATGCAGGCAGATGCCCATCTGTTGGTTCCGTGCTGGTAGCCAGACACAGGGCTGGGCATCCGCACATGGCTCAGGGCTTCGTGCTGATATGGGGACGTGGGGTGGGCAGCGAGCAAATGGTTTTATGGGAGTGTGAAACACATAAGGAGAGCTTTAATATGTGCTGAGACCATTTGACCCTGCAGCTTTCCTAATGCTTTTCCCACACCTCTGTGTCCTGTCCTTTTGCACCTCCTGGCCTCTCAGTGTGCTCGTACCAGAGATGTCCATTAGCACTCTGTGCTCCCTCGGCTCCCATCGCCTCTGAGCGTGGCAGAGATGCAGCAACTCAGGCAGCATCCCGCTCCCCTGTGAAACCCTATCTCTCAGAAATCAGGGTGGCTTTATTAAATACTGCAACATCATCATTGCTTGACACCTTTTGCCGACCCTTTCTGTAAGGATTAGGACAGGGATCCCAGGATTTGGCAGCCAGATGTGAGTTGGCCATCAGCCCCTTGCATTTCCCGGTACCTGTGTTAGGCTGAGTGCTTGCCTGCTTGCTGCAGAGCCAAGCCGTGGTGTCTGGTAGCTCCAAACATCCCGGCTGATGTTGATTGAAGAGGGATGGGTGGAAGGTTTGTGCAAAGAGGGAGAAGCTGCAGCACACGGACTTAATGCAGGCAGCAGTGATTAAAAGCAGCAGGCTGGGGCTCATTTCCATGCAGCATACTTTCCCAAGTTACCTACTCTTTCCACTGCTGCTGGTAGCCAAGATTGAAGGTTCATTGTTTCCAATCTTCGCTAAAGAAGTTTTAAAATGAATATATATATTTTTTTGTTTTTGCTGGCGTGAATGGGGTGGGGGGAATCTGGCTTGAATTTATGTGTGCATTGGGAATTCACTCGGTGGCTGTGCTCTCATTTGAAAGTCTTTTCTTTAAGCACCTGTCCTTTAGTCTGTGTCGCTGCGTGCAGTCAATCATCGCGGTGCTGCTCGCTGCAATGCAAACAACATACATCATATGACAGGGGAAGTTACGGGAGCGCTTTGTTACCTGTTCCCAGCCATTTGCAATGCACGATAATAGCTGTGATGCTGATGAATGCGCCGTGGGTTTAGCCAGGCGCTCTGCTGGGGTGATTAGAAATTGTTTGTTTTGCAGAGTTGGCGATGTGTCACGAGCAATGGGTGACATTGCTTCTGTTTGGAGGGGACACACACGCTCACCTGGTGCAGGTGGGGAGCAGCGCTGCTCTGCATCATGCACAGCTCAGCTCTGAGCGTATTGCTGCGCTGGAACAAGGCTGATTTATGTCAGCAGAAGATCTGCTTCTAAAACTGTTTAAAGCTTAGCACCTCTCCCTCAGCATCCCTGGGAGATAAGGATTTATTGCAGCTGTTTGAAAAATGCAAATTTTTTTCTTTTTCTTTTTTTTTTTTTCTTCTTTCAGGAAATATGCTTTTTCATAAAACTGCTTTTTCAGACAGTGAAAATATTTCATGAGCATCTTTAAGGTTTTGATGGTAGATAGAATCCCAGACAGCAGAACGCTGCGAGCAGAGGGTTGGTCTATGGCCTCAATCATTTACATTTGCATCTATTATAACCTGTAAATGCAAACCAGCAAGTTTCTGGCTCTCACAGAAAGTGGTACTTTGGGGGAACCATTTTTCAGCTCACCCTTGTTATAGGGCTCCAGCCAGCTCTGTGAGAATTGTAAGCTTAGAATAAGAAAATCCCGTGTCCAATTTGTATTTGGTTGATTACTTCTTTTTCTTTTCATTTATCAGCTCCTGTAGATGAGTGCTTCCTTCCCCTCCTAGTTAAAATCAGGATCAGTGCCCAGGAAGGGTCAACCAGTTTACAATTCATTACATGTACGCGTTTCTAACTGACAATGCAATTCTTGTTTCTCATTTTTCATGTCAACTGTTTCTTGGAAAAACAATAAAAGAAAGAGAAGCAGAAAAAGACAAAGACAGATTTACCCAAGTCATCAAGTGAAATGAGAGCTGACAGGTTCTCTAATGTTACATGCCCAGAACAAAGAGGATTCCTCACTCTGCTCTTCTGCAAATGTTTGAGAATCCTTTGTGCATAACTCTGCTATTCAGTGGGAACTGCAGCTCCAGGCTTCCCTGTTGTTTCTGTAGCAATGTGCCCATGATGCTCCTTGGCCTCGCAAGGATTATTTTTCAGATCAAAGGGAAGCAAGACCCAATCGTTGGATCCCTTCCCGTTTTTTGTCACCGAAATATGCCCAAGTTCCCCCAGGCTAATCAATGCTCTCCTGCCTCAGTTACTTTCCTTGTTGTGTAGAGAGAAGAAAGGCGACTTTGGGGATGGTAAAGATACAGAATTTCAGTGAAAAATCCCCACTGGTGGGAGATCCTTCTGCTGAAATCACTGCTGATTTCAGTGGGCTGAGAGCATGACTGCGGTGACCAAGTTTTAATCCAACCCCCCAGTGCCTCCAGTTCAGATGGAGTGGATTTGGAGGTCACAGCCATCTCCTCTCGGATGGGTACAGTTTGTAACTGTACATCCAGGAACGAGATCTTTGGTTTATGGTTTGCACTTGGGCAGATGGATTTGTTGGTGATGGGAGCGTCAGAGGCTGATGGGAATGTCAGCCCACCCTGGGGCAGTTAAAGGGAGCTGCAAAATGAGGTTGAAAGATAACAGGAGAGCCATGGAAATGCTGGACCATCTTCCTGCTGCAGTGCCAGCTCTGCTTTCATTGACAGTGCTCCCACTGATTACAGAGATGGAGGCTGGGATGAAAAGCTCATTGATCAGAGATAGAGGTTGACTCTGCATCTGTTCCAGAGATGGATCTGCTTGATCTGAGCAAGTGTCTGGGAGGGCTTGGTTAGAAGAGCTTCAACCTTTGCAAAGGGCAGGCAGACATTTTTGCACACTATCTTCCTGATGGATCTTGTTTTGAGCCAGACCTAATTTATCTGCAAAGGCCACAGGAAAAAGCTGTAATGAAGCTGTTCCAATTGGGGCCGATTTGTCACTGTTTGGTTCCGGCACTGTAAGTCCCTTTGTACTTCTTGCTGCCTCTCCTCCCCTTACTTTCCACCTGGGAGTTCAAGCAGTGAGGGAATGAGGGGCAAAGAGCCTCCACAGCCCTTTCTACCTCTTCCCCTTGAGACAGAGCACACACTGCTAACCTGGATACACTCCAGCATCTGGGAGAGATCTGTCATTCCCAGCACAGACTGGAACTGACTCTGTGCTCGAAAGCAAGCTAAGCCGCCTTCTTCCTGTCTCAGTGTGACAATATCTCTTCCTGTCCTTATAAGTTGAATCCTGTGGGCAGAGGGTAAAGGGAATGAGTTCCAGCCCCCAGTGGAGGCTTGCTGTGGGCTGGAGGGGGAAACAGAGCCCGTGAGAGCTGATCACTCCTCATTTCTGCCCTGAGAATTAAAGCTCATTCAGAGAAAATCTTTCTGAGCTCAATCAAAATTCAAAGTGGAGTTTCTAGGCTGAGCAGGTTTGAAGGCAGTGACCAGCTGGGGTGTTCTCACTGCTTTGGAAGGGGAGGGAGAATAGGGAGGTGCTGCACAGTGCTGAGTGATGGGGAGGGGGCTTTGCATCTTCTAGGTGGGTCAAGGAAGACCAAAAGTGAACGAATTAGGCTGCGTTGTGCACTGTATGAAACAAATCCCTTGAGGGCTTGTCTGCAGGGGAAGGAAAATGCTGCACCATCTGTCCCCCCCTGCTGTTTCTCCTGTCTGTAATATTTGCGCTGATGCTTTGGGGCATCAGAGGTTGGGCTCTTGGTGGCCACAAGGTGGCATGGAGTGGGACTCTGCAATCTGGTGGCTCTTGCTCATGTGCCCAGGGGTCGGTGGGACTGGGGAGGTCACTGAGTCCATCCCCGACCTTCTTGGATCACACCAACTTAGCAGATGTCCTCAAATCCCCCTCTGCAGGTCCCTCGATCCCCTGCCATGTGCTGTCTAACAGTGTTAATTTATCCTCAGCACTAGGAAGTTTATCCTAACAACAAACCCAAATTTACGTTTTGGTTTTTTTCCTCCCTTGCAAATTCACCTCATTTTTCCCTGTTGTGCCTCTAGTGGCCCGAAGGATAATTGCTCACCTCTCTTTTCACAACAACCTTTTACATATCAGAAACCTGTTATTATATCCCCAGTTCAGAAAACCCTTATCTGGGCCGAGCAAACCTATTTCCTTTGCCCTTTCTTTGAGGGCTGTGTTGTTTAAACCTCCCATCCCGTCTCCTGGGTGAGCTCAATGTGCAAGTGGTTGATATTGAGCATGATGGGAGCTTTTGCCCACCAGAATCTGACGCAGCAAATTGCTTCCCTGCAGCTCCCCAGGCAGATGGGTGGAAATCACGTGCATTTACAGCCCTATGCTAGAAGCCACAGGAGCACACTGCTGTGCTGCTGAGCCACAACCCAGCTGCTGTGCAGCAGAACAGCTCACTCTGGCTGGGGTGATCCAAACGGTCCCCATCTGGTGTTTGTTTGGCACACAGTGCTTTCCCATTGTGACAGAGCTGGGTGGTGGGTTCCAACTCAGGTGCTTGCACGTTGGGTCCTGTGGTCACTTGATGGAAGGCTGTGGACATCCGGCATCTCCTCCATCCCCCGGAGCTCTGGCTCAGGTACTCTGTCTTCATCTTTCTCCAAGTCTTTCTCAGTTAATTACGATCCCTATCGCTGCAGATGCAGCTTTCCATACTAGCTGAAAAAAGACTCGTGGGGAGACCTCATTCAGGCCTTCCAGTACTTGAAGGGAGCATATAAACAGGAGGGGAAATGGCTGTTTATGAAGGTGGGTAGTGATAGGACAAGGGGGAATGGTTTTAAACCGAGACAAGGGAGGTTTAGGTTGGACATTAGGAGGAAGTTTTTCACTCAGAGGGTGGTGAGGCACTGGAACAGGTTGCCCAAGGAGGCTGTGGATGCCCCATCCCTGCAGGCATCCAAGGCCAGGCTGGATGTGGCTCTGGGCAGCCTGGGCTGCTGGTTGGCGACCTGCACACAGCAGGGGGTTGGAACTGGATGAGCATTGTGGATCTTTTCAACCCAGGCCATTCTATCATAAAACCCCTCGTGCACTCCATTCTCTTACAACAGCACGACTGTGCTGTCATGTTTTCCATGTTTTCTCCTCATCCTCAGTGTTTGCGAGTCTCTCTGCTCTAAGCAATGTCAGCTCCAGGCCCAGAGCGTGGAGCAGCTAGTTTGCTCTCTCTGTCTCCCTCCCTCTCTCCTCAGCTTGAGTGTTTAATTTGCTCCAGACTCTGCTTGAGCAATTTTTGGAGAGCGGTTTATATTTGTGTATGCAAATAAGCTGAGCAAATATGCTAAGGAGTGCCAAAGATAGATCTGTGCACTTAAAGCACATGCCAGCCCACAGGAAAATCATCCCAGGCCATTGTGGTCTCACTTAACCCTTCTGCCTTCATCACAGCTTGGAGTCTGGCCAGCAGGCAGTGCAGGGGGATGCGTGCCCACCTCTGAGCAGTGCTGGAGCTGCTCTGCACCCTGAGCTGGCAGCAGAGCACAGCATTTTTGGTGTTCGTCTACCCAAATATTATCTGCCTTTCATGTCCTTTTTGTTGTCAAACGAGCAGCTCAGGAGCTGTGTAACCCAGCCAGCTTTCCTTCAGGCTCGTGATTGGTGTTGGAGTCTCTGGTGGGTCATAATGTGTGTTACAAAGCTTTGCGTGTGGCTGGAGAGTCCATCAAGGCACTCTGCCCTGCGGATGCTCTGACAGCTGACAGCACAGCTGAGCTCTGGGTTTTGCCTTCTCCTGAGGGGCAAGGGGAGAGTTTGCTCTTTCTCTAATGATATGCCAGTTATAAAACTTGTGCAAAAAAAGAAATATATATGTATATGTATGTATGTATAGTTTCCCTTAAACTGGTAGATCTGTCAAATGGGTTGAAGCATCCCCTTGAAGAGCACCAGGTTTCCTAATCTGGCATTCTCCCTGTAGGAGGGAAAGTGAGAGATCATTGTCACTCGCTGGGCTTGCCTACGTTGGGGAGCTGACAGGAATTGCTATTGCAGAATAAGCTGTTCAGCCGGAAGCCGTCCAGAATAGCTGCTTGCATGGACACTCTTCTGGTACATAAGTGACTTTGCTGTAGCATAATTACTTCACTTTGGAAGGATGCTAATTACTTTGGAGTGTTTTTTATTCCGGAATAAAAACCTGCTGTCATAACGTCCTCTGGGAGGTGTGGTGAAGTGGTTTCTCCATCAGTCACTGCTCAGACAGCTTCCTCATGTAGATGTGCAGAACAGTTGGGAAGGGCAGTGCGTGTTCTGCTGCCAAACCTGAGCGAGATGCAAGGAGGGACGATCAGAGCAGGTTTTGGTGATGCTTATCACACAGGGTTTTTCAACCTTAGAATGTGTGGAAGATGATACAGCTTCTCACTGCATCTTTTTTAGCTTAGTTTCTTAAAGAAATGAAGCTTATATAATCCATGGCTGCATACATGCAGCTTAATTTCTACACCATTAGCCCATCTCAGCCACATTTAGCAGAGGACAGAGGTTTGAAGAGCAGTATTGCTAGGAGTTGGGGACTCAGCTAGCTTTAATGGCATCCACACTCCTGAGAAGACATCATGGCATCCATGTGCCCAAGTGCTGAACGCCTTTCCCCTCCCAAAGGAAAGCTGGGTGTCTGCTGGAGGCTGACACCTTCCCAGTGCCCGTCCCACAGCTCCATCTCCACGTGTTCACAAAGACTTATTCTTGGCGTCGCTTTTCTTTGCCTCTGGAAGTGTTGAGTGGTTCCATCTTCAGCTCTTCCCTATCTTCATGAGATGTTCTCTAATACCAAAATGCAGCCCTGGGGAGGCAGAAGAGTTGCCTATTTCTGTCTTTACCTGCTTTCCCAGGTTTGCTCGCTGCTGAAAACAAGAACGTTTTCCTCACTGTCCTCCCACTGAAGATTGCTTCCTGGGATAGCTGCAGCTTGGGAACTTGGCAGCAGACATCCCTAAACAGAGTCAGATGGCATCTCAGGGTGGTGTAGCAGTTCTGCAATTATTTTGCTGTGATTGCAGCCAAAAGCAATCTCATTAGAAGGTCTTGGTAGGCAGTGCCATCTAAATCCACCTCCCTTGGCTCTGCGCAGCTGTAACGTGGAAGGAAAGGAGAGGAGAAGTCCTTGTTTGCAGGATCCCATTGCCAGAAACAGATCTTTTGGTTGGGATTAGTCTTGCTTGCAGTGCTGCATTGAGGAAGGTAGTACCTATGGCTACACCACGTTGGTCAATGAAGAGAAGTGGATCAGGCAGGTTGTCCTACTTAGGGGCTGGATGGGATGCATTGCTCCCTAGCCATGCCATGTCTTCTCTTGGATAACTGTTGGAGGAGTCTGGGTGACTTGCTCAAATGCAGACCTTGTCCTGGTCAGTGTCTGCTTTCAGATAAAGAGATCCCTCTTTCTGCAGCAGTCACAGAACAGTGCCTGCTGGGAGGGCTGGCACCTTGTGTGGGATCAGGGATGCGTTCCCAGGTCTGGGCACAGCAGGAAGCTTTTGCATGTATCAGTGTTAGAAAGCAAAAGCCAGGCACAGCACGGGGAAGTACTGAAGAACCTCTTACCCAGCCCAGCTATTTTTTATTTGCCAACACTCACGTTTGTTTCTGGACACAAGGTGAAAAATGTTGGTCCATGCTCTGGGTAATGACTGTCAACTCAGATTGCAGTGTTCTTGCAAGGATGTGGCTTTTGGAGATGCAGCCCCTTGGTTGGGAAATGCCATCAAAGCTCTCTGCCAAGAGCTGCAGAACTTGGGATCCTTCCACTTGGGAAATGAGATGATAGTGCACTGGCCTGTAGAGAAGTAGAAATAATTTGCCTAAGCTTATGCTCAATGGTCCAAATCTTACTGTGAGTCTTAATAATTTTAATGCAATTACCCTTAGGGTTATGGTCTGATAAATCAGTGCTCAGAGCAGTGATAAGGGAACATTTGGGTATGTTTCCCCTGTTCTTTTTCCCCTCTCTTTCTGACTGCTGTGGGGTGCATGGGCCCAACCCAGCACAGCACGCTGAGCCTGCAATGAAGCCATTGTCTTCACCCTTGTTATCACTTATTGCACTGACAATCTGAAATGCCTTGTTTTGTCTTGTTATGGAGTACTCAAGCCTGGCTTTCTGCGTCTTGTACCATTGCTGCTACACTCATTTCAGCTGTTTTTCTCTCTGCTGTGTAAGAGATTGGAGTTGCCTCTTTGGTGCAATAAGCAGTGCCTCTCAGCAAGCAGGAGCACAGCTGGTGTTTGATCCTGATGCCCAGGTGCTCTGCTAGCTTTATTTCATTTATTGTCAAATGTTCTTCTGCCGTTATGTCATTTTGGGGGGACATCTTTGTGGGATGTCTGTAATAAGAGAAACAGAGCGCTTTGTGGAGAGGAAGAGCTGACTCTGGGGGTGAGATCAAGAGCCTGCTGCTTTTTGCTTCACACACACACAGAGACTTGTTCCAGTTTAAGGTACCAAAGGTTTGTCCTGGATGCTGTGAGTCATGCTGGCTCTGCTATGTCTGCTTTGCTCACAGGCATCTTTTGACCTTGAGAACACATTGGTTTCCCTGAGCTTGTTTCTCTCCATTCTTGGATGGGACACCTGGATCCTTCTGACAGGTTTCAGCCTGATTGGTTAACACGGGTTGTATGCACTAAGTAAACACAAGCTGTATCTAAAACCCACTCAAAAACTTATTTGTGAGAAAAAGATGAGAATGTTGGAATAGAGATTGCTGTAACTTGAGTTCTTCCTTCTTATCCCCGCATCTTCAAGCACCTACAATTTGCTCTTCAAGACCCGTGGCTCTTCCCGTGCACGAAAACAGACGATGGTAACTGCAGGGCTACTCTCAAGCACTTCTTTGCTCCCATCACCAGCTGTCTGTCTGTATGCATTATTTATGATGCAGCCTCTAATCCCTGCTCCGACTGCACCGTGCTGAATTTCCACCAGAGCTTCGCCATGGCGCAGTTGTCAAAATATCAGAGTGCTTTGCAAACTTTAATGAATTCCTATTTGCAGAGACGCTATATTTATTCTTTAATTATTTTCCTTCAGTGAATTCCAATTTTCTAATGTGTCTTTCTATCAGCAGAGAAACGATGGTGGTAATTCAGCCAAAATATTGCTTATTTCTTACTATAGAGCGGTGATGCGTTGGCACAGGCTGCACAGGGAGGTGGTGGAGTCACCATTCATGGAGGTGTTAAATATGGAGATAAAGCACTTAGGGACATGGCTTAGTGGACATGGTGGTGATGGGCTGATGGTTGGACTAGAAGATCGTAGAGGCCTTTTCCAACCTTAACGATTCTGTAATTTCTATGGGTTCAGTGTCTTCTCTGCTTTCCTTCAAAGAAGAAAACTCAGCTCAAAAGACACTTCCCCAGAAGGTGTCTAGCAGACAGCCCTGATGCTGATGAGCATGCGACCAAATCCTGAGCTGAAGGTGAAGCATAAAGCAAAGTGCTCTCCTCATCACTGCCTGCAGTAAATCTCGCAGCAGAGCATCCACATCTGCCCCAAAACCAACACGAGGAGCGCAGGGGGAGGTGGAGCCTCACTCAGCTCTGTGGTCAATGGCCAGAACCTACCAAAACAGCGTGGCTGTTTGCATCAACATATGTCGAAAGGATTGATCCCTCCTGGCAGGCTCTTGTAAGAAGCAAGGCAGCACATGTGAGCTGGTGCTGTCAAGGGAAATTGGAGCTCGCTGCTGTTTGACAGGTATATTATTCCAGCTGCCCTAGACTTATTTACAAAACAAGGTGCTGCGATCCCCGAAGTGGTGCGAGTCAGCGCTCCGGAGCTGCAAGGGGCTCTGTTTTTTCAGCCCTTCAGAGCTGGCCTCAATTTGTTTGACATGTGAAATGGATGAAAGTGGAGGGAGGAAAAAAAAAAAAAAAAAAATTAAAAAAAAAAAAAAGCCTTCTTTGCTTCACAGCCTGTTCTCTCCTGGAGACAGACACAAATTTAAGTGTGAAAGAGCTGAGGTTACTTTTCCTGGCTGTGCCATATATAAGGTGATTCCAGTTCCTGGTGCCATGCAGGGAAAGCTTTGCTGCTTGTCCTAGGGCAGATGGACACAGAGCATTGGGCTCTTGGTCAGGGGGCCCCTCTGTGCCCAGCATGCTCAACAAACCCCTTGGTGGGAGCCTGGATTTACGGGTTTTGGCCTCGTCCTTGTCAGGCTTAATGCCCTTCACTTCCTTCTTCAAGCTCTCCAATTTCAGCTCCCAATCTCCCCTATTTCCTTTATAGCTCTTATTTCTGGTCCATCTTTGGCCATCCTGACAGCTTTTGTAAATCACCCTCAGAGAGAGTTTTCTTCCCTGACCATTGAGGGAGGCCAGAAACACTCCTCTGCAGTGCCCACGGGGAAGTGATGTGAATACTTATGTTCCTGCTGCATAGCTCTCTTCTTTCGTGCTTGTTTTCAGATAGCTGAAGCTGAAAGAATTGGTTTTGAACAGTGGCTTGGAGCCTGCCTGCTTGAGGGAACTTCACTGTACCCTTGAAGAATTACCTAATGCAGTGAGATGGAGTTGTCTGGTTATCTAAGTGTTTCTCCCCGCATCCCAGAGAGGAATGGCTGAGCTCTATCTGCATTCGATGTGAAATCTCCTGCCTTTCCTATTGCAGCTGTCTCCTGGGGTGGGAGCCTCAGTGTTTGGCGTGGGATTCTGCCCATGCAGATGTGATGCCAGACCCTAGGGGTTATCCCTTGTGTTTGGGCTGCTTTGAACCTGGCTGTTTGTGGTGGGAGTGGAGCTCTGAGCCCTGCACGTAAGCCTGAGTGTCTCCATCCACAATGACAACCACACGTCTCTTTACCTGCGTGCTTCTGCTGAAGGTGGTTTTCCAGTCTCAGGTGTGCTTGCCTGCACAGGCAGTGGTGAGAGGCAGAGTCCCTGGAGGATATGGGATGATTAAATGAAACATTCACCTGTATGTTCATGGAGAATTGAAATGGGAATCGGTTCTGACTTCGTATCATATTCAGCTCATGCCTCCCGTCTTCCCACTCCAATGCAAAATTCATCAGACATCAGGCTGCAGAAAGCAACTGAGACAGCCTGGCGAGTGCAGAGATGGGCCCGTCCTGAGAGGGGGAGCACAGATACACCAGGAAAGTGTCTAAATGAGCTCTCGCTTTGTGATGACAGCTGGCAGAGCCAA